TACATAATTATATCCATTCTCTATATGCAATTTTTATCTTGCTTTTTTTAGTTACTATTATATCATAAGCATTTTCTACATTATACAGTCTTTGTGAACATTGCATTTTATGACTCCATAATGTTCCATGCAAGGATTATGGCATGGCTTATTTAACCAAACATTTAAATTAAAAATTTTTCTTCTTATGACTTATGCTGTTGTAATGTTCATTTTGTTGCATAAACTTACCTCTGTCCCACTTCAGCCCATGACCAGTGTTTTGGCTTATTTCTTAAAGCTATCTATTCCAGTGTATGATTAGCAGGTCAGAGGACATGCCCATTCTTAGGGCTTTGATGCACACTAACTCTCATAAAAAGACTATGCCAGTGTGTGCTCTGATATGCAAAGGAAGAAAATACCTCTTTGCCACACTTTGGTTAATATTCCCACTATCAAAGACTAGATAATTTGAAACACGTTTAATTTGATTGTTTCTATTTTCATAGTTTTGATTAGTAGAGATATCTAAACATTTTTCCATGTTTTTAAACAGTAGCTGTTCCACTTTGTGGAAAGGTCCTTTAGGTTCTTTTTCTGTACATCTATTGTCTTCTTTGTTTTTCTTGAAGATTTGTATTAATTCAGATGGATAAATACACAGTCTTTTTTTTGTTATAGTTGCTTCAAGTGTGTTTCCTTGTTTGTTGAGTTCCTTTTAAGTTTGATTAAGATTTTCATATACAGAAGATGTAGATTTTTTTATAATCACATCTGCCCATCTTTTTCCTTTGTACTGTTTTAAAAAATCTTTTCTCAATCTGGGCATTTCTTCTCTCCAAAAGCTTGATAAATATTCATTTCTATCTTTTATCATTTGTTTATGCTTTGATTTAACAAAACTAACTCTTTGATCTGACCAAAATTTGTTTGGTACCTAACATTCAAGTGAGTTTTTCTATAGCTAATTATCCCAAGATAGTTTATTCAGTAACCTTACTTTTCTCCCTTATTATCATATATTTAAATATTTATATGTAATGAGATATGATCTGAGCTACTGGCTATGTTTAGTTGGATTAATGTACCACACTGTTTAAATCCCTGTATTTTCAAAGACTGTTTAAACATCTGTTCACTCCTTGGGTAGCTTGAGTTTAGGAGATTCAACTCATGTTTTTCCCCTTTCTACTGGACTCATAGGAAGAAACCAATTCAGATGTGCAATGGTAACATTGACATTAGCATAAAGAAAGTTAATCAAGCCACCCTAGTGAGACCATATCCTGCTAATTTGATTTTTGAGGTTTTTTTCAATCTATGGTGCTATGGACTGAACTCAGGGCCTCATAAATGACAAGCAAATGATCTTTGACACTTAAAGATGACTTTTGCCTCCAGTTTTTTCTTCTGCAGTCTACCCTGTCCTCTATTCTTGATTGAGAATGGGAGTTTCCTACAAAAGATGCTCTTCCCAAAGGTATATTTTATTCCTATCTCCCTTACATGCACTCATTGTAGACTTGTGAGGAAGGGAAGTTTGTCCTTTTACTAACATTTCTTTTCCCTCTATTTGAGTTTCCTCCCTTTTTCTCAACCTGACAAACACATAGCTACTGGGAGTAGCCACTGCTTTCTTTCTCAGAAGATTTCATTTCTTCCTGATGTGAGGCAGATGCACCTCCCAAGGTCAAAACCTTATACTTCAGTCCTTTGAATACATTCTTATCTACTTCCTTCCAGACCTGATGATTCCAGCTTTTTGTTACTTCTAATCTTGCTGATGCAATCACAGGTCCTTTGCTACACACAGGGGTCCTGGGAAGAGCTAAATTAGGATATAGAATCCCTCCTAGAGAGGGGAACCAGGGAGATGTTATAAAAGATAGCTTTCCAGGATTTCCGTGTGTAACACCAGGTGGCCAGGAAGCAAAGGGAACAATGTTCAATACACCCACTGTCCATAAAGCTCAGGTAGGACCCTCTCCCCACCAGGACAACAGACCACGGGAAGTTAATAGTTCACCATATGTGCAAGGCAGCTCAGACATGTCATCCTCTCATCTAGGAGCAGAAGCTACTCTTCTCTGTTTATTGTTTTGAAGGTTTAGAGTCCAGATTCTAAAAGGACATGCTGTTTTTAAATTCATCAAACAAAATCTATGAAGAATTAGAGTGAATTATAACCCCACTGAGTACTACCAGCAAAGATGCTACATGTAGAATTTGTCCATTCATTAATTTATATACCAAACACTTGTCAAGTTCCTGATAATAAGCTTTGTTCTCATTCTGAGAATTTGCTATCTGTATTAGTCAGCTTTCCCATTGTTGAGATATAATACCCAACACTGGCACCTTAAAAGAGGAGAGATTTTATTTGGCTCATAGTTTTAGGAGATTCAGTCCATGGTTGGCTGGATCCAAGGCAGAAACATCAAGGGAGAAGGGCATGGTGGAGCAAATCTGCTTAATTCATGGGTGCCTAGAAACAGAGCAAAGGAACTGTGCAGAGAGGAAGGGGCCAGATATGGGACCCAAGGTCAAGGCTTCATGTTCTGTCCAGACTCTCCCAGAAGTGTGCTCCACCAATCCCACTGGTGCCTTCCAAGCCAATTAAGTTGACATGATTGTGCTTAACCATCCAAGGATCCAGAGGGTAAAATCAACCTAGACTAGTGGAGGAGGCATTCTAGCCAGCCCGAATGGAAGAGATAGGTAAACACAAGGCACTATTTCTCATTTTATATTTTATTTTTCAACTGTCTGCATTAATGCTTATAAATGAAATGTGGAAATCAATTCTAGTTGTGGTTTATCAATAATCAGTGGAGATACATTCCATGCAGGCAACACTGTGGGAAGCTATGTAGTGATTGTGTACTGTGGCTCTTTTATAAATATGTTTCTACTCCTCACTGCCTCTTAGAAAGAAATGGCTTCACACCCACTGGGAATCTGTATTTGAGGTATTTTGCTAATAAAACAACCAAATGACAGATAACTGGGCAGCAGTTTTCCCCACATGAGATCAGAGAAATTGGAGGCTGCCATGGGGATGACAGAATCTTTCCCTATAGATCTACCTAATATGTCAGCTTTTCTGAAAATAGAGAAAATATCTTATGTTTTCCCCTATGAGGGGAGACACACACACACACACACACACACACACACACACACACACGGTGCATTGAACATTTTAACAAGGAGTTCTCAAGATTAGTTATAGATGCTTCATGGATTTAAGAGTTAGGTGAGGAAATTCTTAATTACAAGTTACAATCTCTTCACTGTTTTTCTAAAATTTTAATTATTTTTAACCAAGACAGAAAAACATAAAAGTTGTGTGTATTAATGTAGCACCAGGTAATGTTTAATACCTGTATGGATAGCAGAAAGTTTAAATATATCTATCTCCTCAAACATTTAACATTTATTTCATGGTGAAAACTTTCAAAATTATTTCTTTTGACTTTTTGTACACTACATTATTGCCATAAATAGTAACCATACTGTGCAGCAATATCCCAGAGTTTCTTTCTTTCTTTGTTTTTTTGGCTTCTATTTTTTATTAGCACATGTTTGTAGTTCATAATGTTTACATTCCTCGTGGGAGTTGATACATGTACCTAACACATTTTAATTCTGTTTTTCATCCCTTTTCCCTCTTTTCTCTCCCCTTCCTTCTCCCTCCCTCCGTTTCTTGATTCTCTTCCTTTTTGCAAAAGTTCTATCTCCCCCTTTTCCTATTATCTATTTTTTATTTTGCTCTTTACTTCTGTTTGGTTTTCTCATATAAGAGAAACCATCTGATATTTCAGCTCATGTGTCTAATTTATTTCATTAACATTATGGTCTCAAGGTTCACGTAACTTAGCAATCCCTGATCAACATAACATTCCTCCATTCCCGCTCCCCATCCCTTTCCACTTTCCCTGGTCTCTGACAACCACCATTCTGCTCTAGGTTTGCGATCATCTCTTTTAGGTTTTGTGTATAAGTGAGATCATGCAGTACTTGTGTTTTGCGCCTGATCTATTTTATTTAATATGATGGTCTCCAGTTCTACCCATGTTTTTGCAAATGAAAGGATTCCATTGTCTTTGTGGTTGAATAGTATTCATATATAGTAACACCTCCATTCATGAACACTTCTGTTTGCAAGCAATTTGGTGCACAAACCAAAGTGCTTGGCAGAGTTTTGCTTCTGTTCATAAGCTCTGCATCAGGTAACAAACACGAGCATGACCATCTTCCCCACACAAATACCAATGCAGACATTTTCTCCCAAATCGTGAAACAAATGAAGTTCATAAACCGAGGTACCACTGTATATCAGGTGTTCATATGGTATATATTTTATATGCTATAACTATTTTACATATATATGTAACATTTTCTTTATCCATTCACCAGTTAATACACAGGTTTCAATTTCTTGACTATTTGAATAAGCTGCAATGAACATGGGAATGCAGGTGTCCTTTTCAGTATAATGTTTTCATTTCCTTTGAATACAATCTATTGACTTAGTTGTAGTAAGTCTCTATCTAGCCATCACCTATTGTTAGCCTTGCACAGTGTTTGCCATATAGTAGGTATTAAATTAATTCTTTTTTTTTTTGGTACCAGGGATCGAACTCAGGACCTTGTGCTTACGAGGCAGGCAGCAGAACCATTGAACTAAATCCCCAACCCCTAAATGAATTCTTTTTAAAAAATGAGGCATCTGACAGGTTCTGGAGATCAGGTTCTGGAGATACTGCCACCAGCCTCCATGAAATCATGGATTAAGATGGGAGGCGGTTCTGTGAATAGCAAACTCTAATAAAGTAATGGCATTATTATATTCTAGGCATCATACCAAACCCTTCATGCATCCCACCTCAGTTAGTTCTCATAACACTCATGTGAAGTAGGTACTGCTTCTCTGTTCAAGGCGAGGACACAGGTGTTGACAGAGAGAGGTTCACAGAGCTGTGGTGGTTGAGATGTGAACCCAGATATTTGTCACGCAGGTGTGCACTGCTCCCAGCTGTGTGGTCTCCCTTGCTGAACCTGCTGCTTGCAAGTGTGAACAGGAGCAGGGCAGAGAAGACACTTGGTTCTCCGTGCAGAAAAGGCTTGGAAATGATCCACAGGGGACCTGCATTTCACTTGGCACCATGGTTTCCAGAGTGAGTAAGCTGGGTGATTCCACAAGCCATATATTGATACAAAAATGTGGAAACCTGAGCATGATACCATATCATTTTTCAGCTGCTCTAGTTGTGACTCAGTGACATCCTGCTCTAGGTTGACATGAGAACTTGCCCTCTAGCCTCAGCAGGAATGGTTGGATAAGTGTGTGTGAAGCTAGAGGGAGTATTTTGAGGAGGATTAATGGCAATACGTCTTTTAAATATTTTAAAATTCAAACATTCACTGTACTTTTCAGTCACACCACATACATACTTGAAGATAATGCATCACTAGACCATTTCATGCTCTCCAGAATCCTGAAATTTCTTACCTCAATGGCATCATGCTCATCTTTACTACCTGCAAAAATGTCTTCCTGTGCTTGTCCGCCAGAGTGGAGTGCTGCTGTGTGCCTGTCTATGCTGAGGGCTGATCGGGGCAGCGCTTGAGAGGGTGAGTGAATGTAGCTTGGGCATGCAGGCCAGACATGCTTGCACATGAGGCTGCTGCACGGGAAAATCTGGGAGTGTGCCATCAGCCAGGAGCTGGTTTTCTCTATGCATGGAGCATGATAGGAAAATTCTGCAAGAAGACTTGGCCTTCTAGGTTGCTGTGAAGGTTTACATTGGGAGGAAAACATTTCCTCTTACCCACTTAGGTTCACATGGTTAGGGGTCCACGAATTAACTGACATAGGTTGGCAGGTGCAAAGATAAGGTTTATTTAGATGTATGTGCAGGAGTACTCAGTGATGAACAATTCACTGGGTGGCCAGAGGTAATGTTTATATACCAACTTGTAAAACAAGGGACGGGGTTCAGAGCTTCCATGGGGAAGTGTAGAATTTTCTACTGGAAATTTTGATGGTAAGCGATAGCTGAATTCACTCCTCCCACTGCTAAGGGCCAGTCTTCTCCTGAACTGCAAACTCCTTGGACAGGGGCTTAACGGCAGCTGTGTGTCTGGGAGGTCTGCTTATATTCAGGTGATGTTTCTGTGGCTGATGTTTTCAGTTTAAACGTAATTTTCATGCCACTTTAATGAGCTGTTAATCCCTTCATAGATTTATCAAGGAAGGAGAATGGAACATATTTTATTTAACAGTCAATAGCTTGATTTTCATTTTATAACTACTTAGGTGCATGGAATATGGGGCTCTTTTTTTACACTCACCCTAGGCCTTGCAAATGTTAGAGGTAGGCTTGATGATTATACCATTATCTTTTATGAATGGAACAAACTCAGAGTGAAGCTTTTTTTTGTTTTTTTGTTTTTGGTACTGGGGATCGAACTTGGGTCTTTGCGCTTGTGTAGCAGGCGTTGAAACCACTGAGCTAAATCCCCGGCCCTTTGGTGAAGTGTTTTATGATATGTGTCTTGCCAACATGATGATGCTAATACTGGGCATAGTTATAAGACACCAGGTAGCTCCAGGGCACCAATTGCTAGATACTGGATGCTTCTCTCAGTTTATCCAGGAAATACCTCCTGGTAATTCACAGGACAGGGAAAAGATTTAGTGGCTTGTATACATAGAAAGAGCTGCATATCAATGGAGCAGGCAGATCTACCTCTCAAAGATCACCCGGGCCAGATTATACCACAAATTTCTAGCCTGAAACAGGCATTATACTAAGCTCAGCATCTTCATACATAAATCATGTGACTTGTGTTTTATGATGTATTATAAGGTGGCAGATCACTCCTCTTTCCTCACTCAATCTCTTGGAAATAGCCCATATACACATCATATATGTTGATGACTTTGCTTCTATTAAGAGATATTACATTAGTTATATATGGCTGCATAAAAATCAGCCCAAATTTAGTGCCTTGGAATAACAGCATTAGAATAAAGAAAATGTGGTGTAAATAGAAAATGGGAGGACACTAATGAACATGGAGGATACTATTTTAAGTGAAGTGAGGCAGGCCCTGAAAGGCCAGTATCACATGATCTTATTTGTGAGATCTTTAAAAGTCACACCATAGAAACAGAGCACAAATTGGTGCCTACCAGAGAGTTGATAGTGGAGTGATTGGGGAGATGTTGGTGAAAGGATGCAAACTTTCATTTAGGCTGAGCAATAAGTTCAAGAGATCTATTGTATATCATGGTGACCACAGTTGATAATAATGTATTATGTATTTGAAAGTTGCTAAGACAGTAGGTTTTAAGTATATTCACTACACACACATGCATGGACACACGCTCACACATACAAAGTAAATACAAACTAAATATATAAGGTAATGTATATGTTAAATAGAAGGATTTAGACATTCCACAATGAATACATATATCAAAACATGTTGCACACTGTAAATAAAATTATGAGTAAATTAAAATTTTACCTGTGAAGTAAAAAATGATTAAAGACATAAAGAACAAAACCAAAGAAGATTATATTTATTATGTTACACTTTCTGTAAGTTAGGAATCTTGGTGTGGTTTGCTTGGCCCAGTCATCTCACAAGGCTAAAATTGGGGTGTCAGCCATGGCTGAGCAAGGAAGGGTCCTTAGGAGCTCACTGACATGGCTATTGGGGGATTCGCTCCCACGTGTACTGCTGGGGTGAAGTCCTCGGGTCTTTAGGGGCTTCTGGCTGGAGACTGCCCTCAGTTTCTCCCCATGAGCTTCCACAGGGCAGCTCACAATGTGGCAGTTTGTGTCACCAGACAACGAAAGTGAGCAGAGCTAGAGAGAGAAAGTACAAGAAAGACAGAAGTCACCATCTTTGATAATCCAATCTTGGAAATGACTGTGCTATGCACAATTCTAAGACGTTCCTCTTTTGTGCGTTTCCTGCATACTCCTGGAACTATCATTTCCATGATTATGTTACATTATATGGTCAAAGGGATTTTGCAAATGTAATTAATGTCACAGCTGATCTACAGATAGGAAAATTATCCAGGTGGAAATGACTTAATCACATGAGCCCTATAGAAGTATACCTACTCCTATGGATTTATTGAGTTTGATCCTGAGGTCAGAGGCAGGGAAGCTGGAGATTCAAGGCCTGAGAAGGATTTGACACATTGCTGATTTGTGAATGGAGGGTGCCATTCGGCCAGTATTGCAGGTGGCTTCGGTTACTGAGAGCATCCCTCAGATGCCCGCCATCAGGAAAACAAGAATGTAGGTCCCAGAGTCATGAGGAACTGAATTCTGCCAACAAGAAGAACGAACTTGGAAGTGCGTTCCCCTCCCTTCTCCATAGCCTCTGGATAGAACTCAGGTTGGCTGACACCTTGATTGTAGGTTTGTGACACTTCAAGCAGAGAACACAGCTAACCTACACTGGGGCTCTTGGCCTTGGAATAGTGAGATGATACATTTGCATTGTTTTAAATTGCTATGTTTGTATTCATTTTTATGCAATTATATGAATGAAATTGGATCCTTCAAATTCATGTGTTGAAACCCTAACTGTATTGTGTGATCGTATTTGGAGATAGGGCCTATAGAGATGTAATGAAGATTAAATAATGTCATAAAGGGGAGGCCCTGATTAGATGGGATCAGTGTCCTTTTTAGAAGACACCAAAGAGCCCTGTCTCCCTCCCTATGTGCCCACACACCAAGGAAAAGCCAGGCAGAGAGCTCTCACCAGACCCCAAATTGACCATAACATTGATCTTTGACTTTTAGCTTCCATTAATCTGAAAAAAAAAAATTTCTGTTGTTTAAACCATGCTGTCTATGATTTTGTGCTCTGGTAGCCCAAGCTGACCAATGCATGCAGCAGTAGAAAACTAGAAGAGAGGTATCCCATGAATTTCACTGCTGTTTTCATTAAAATTTCAGCCTACTGTCAAAGAAGAGGTTATACAGGGGCATGACACCAGGAAGTGAAAACTGCTTGAGACCATCTTAGAAGTCCACCCACCACAGCTGTATTTAACAAAAACATCATTTCACATATATGTCGAACATTAAGTGGGTAAACTTATGGACACTGAGAATTTTGAGAGTAATTCTAATCTGCAAAGCCAAGTACTCTACTATCAATTGTGCATTATTCCATTTTCAAAGTAAGCACGGGGAATTTCTTTGTTCAGCTAGGTGACAATGTGGCCCTTGGGAGGTTCAACTATTACTATGTATATGGCCCTGAGCAAATTACTTTTATATCATGAACCCTTGTTTTCCTGTGAATAAAATGGGTCTAAGAATACTTTATCCAGAGTCTCATTAAAATGATTAAATGAACCAGAGGTGGTGGCACATGCCTGTAATCCCAGCAGTCTGGGAGGCTGAGGCAGGAGGATCACAAGTTCGAGGCCAGTGTGTGAGACTTAGCAACTTAGCAGACTCTGTTTCAAAGAGATATAGCTGGATGTGAAGGCCTGGCTTCAATTCCCGGTACTGAAAATAAAGAAGGGTGAAATGTGTTTGTGCATGTACAGATCAGAGCTCTGTGTTTAACACATGGTCAATGCTTCATAACTGTTACCCACTATTATTATCATATCAGGAAGCTGTCGGATTACCTAGAATGCCAAAGACGTGTGTTGATAGCTGTATTTCACTGGAGTAAACTGTTTACCTCATTTATATATTTTGCTTTATTTAATCTTCACAGCCTCCTTTATAAGATAGGTATATGTTATCCTTAGCCGACAAATAACCAAACTAAACGACCGTAGTGTGCCTAAAGGAACTGTGTAATATCATCCAGCAATTCAGAAACGAAGCCGGGATTCAAACTCAGGCGCCCCAACGCAGTCTCTTGCTGTCACCCCCATTGAGCTGCCTTCCCTGATGCTATGAGACCACAGTGGCCCAAGTCTTCAGCAACCCTGGCCTGACACCAGGTTCTGGAAAAGATCCCTTTAAAAAAATCCTGGAGAGTACTTTGGGGCCAAGCAGAGGTTTTCCTCATTCAACATCCCCAGGATAAGAGGACAATTGAAACTATAGTTAAATTTTGACCATTCTTTATTTTTCCTTTCTAAATTGTGACACTCTGCAGACAGAAAAAGCCAGCC